TGAGCTAATTGATTTTTAAATGATTGATGATTTTCTAATGAAAATTTTGGTTTGAAAGCAAACTTTTGCTCATAAATATCAATGAATAATTTGGAGACTTTCTCAAGTACAGGTTGTCTTGCGGTAAATATACGTTCTCGAATATCTTCACCATATTTAGAAAAATGCAGATACGATTGCCAATAACCCTGTAATTCAAACATATGTCCTCGTGAAATTGCATTTGGACGTGTCAATTCAGGAAGATATTGACAAATAGCACTCTTTGCTATTTTAGTCATTAAATCTGTAGTATTGTGAATGATTAAGTTGAACGTGGTTGTTGAAATAAGAAAAGGAGAAAGATCAAGATTGAATACCTCATTCATTTCTTTTGTTATTTGTGGTGGTAAATACAAATGACAAGAATGAAGACGGGCAAGACCATAAGCACTAGCAGTAATAAACATTCGATTACCAAGACGACCATAATGCTCTTTCACATATACCATACAGTAAATCTTATTTTTTTGTGAAATAATTGTTTTGAAAGCGAATTGATTTTTAAAAGTAATAGAAAATGAATATGTGTCGAATTTTATTTTTAGAATATTTGAAATGATAGCAGTTATTATTAGAATAACAAGAAAAAATTGAATAAAACGCCATATTGTTAATGAAAAATTGTTTTTATTGATAGATGTCATCTTTTGAATAAATCTTTCCCAATAGTTGAATGCATCTTAAAATAATGTAACTATCAGAACTTATTGTAGTAATTATAGTTATCCAATTCGAAACAAGTATCTTTTAGGCTATGTTTTTCAATTAAATAAATATAAGACAGATACTTTACAGATATTTTCAACAGTTTTGACTAATTAACTACATCACCGATGAAATATATCTTGTTTATGACTATCACTTGCTTGGTTTTGTTTTACTTATCATCTTTCTGTATGTGTTTTTTCTGGTGAAGTATTCTTCGTATTATACTCATTTATAGATGAGATATCAATGTTATTTCGCGATTTCAACTACTAAACGAAACAAATTATGTATGATAGGGTGTCCACAACCGAAATTTTATATTGAAACGTTTATTCACTTTTTTTTATCTAGAATTTGATAAGACGTGTCTTATTGATCAGACAAAAGTTGTTGTCAATCTTCTTTGACGCTTTTGCTAGGATCAAAAACGTTTTGAAGCTTAGAAGATACCGTTTTTTTCCGAATAACTTTTTTTATAAGCTGTACAAAACATTTTCATTTTGTTCTTAACAGTTTTTGAAAATATTTTTTACTGACTGTATGAAAAAACGTTGAGTATGTAAATGATGTTAGATCGATTTTTGGCGAAAGCATCTCTTAATAGTAGACTATCTGATAAAGAAAAATGGCACAAGTGGCTTACCGTTTCGCTCTATTCTGATATTTTTTCAGATACTTCACATCTACAGAATGTGACTAGTTTGTATTTAATACACATTTATATAGAAGAGAGAGAGAAGAGCACGGGAAAGAGCAATTGGTATAACAGCAAAAGGAAAAAGGAAAGAAAAGTCGGTAAAAAGTGATATGAATATCGACCCATCCTCACCCGCGGCTGATTAGACACGCTTCTGAGCATGTGTGTAATATAGAAAAAAAGGGTGTGGGTGTGGGAGTGGGAGTGGGTGTGGGTGTCTTGGATGTGGGTGTGGTGGGTATGGGTGTGGGTGGGGCGTGTCGGAGTGTGGGGCATGAGGTGTGTGAGTATGGGTGGAGTGTGTGGGTGGGAAGTGTGAGGTGTGCGTATGGGTGTGAGTGTGGGTGGGAAGTGTGAGGTGTGCGTATGGGTATGGGTGTAGGTGGGACGTGTGAGGTGTGCGTATGGGTGTGAGTGTGGGTGTGGGTGGGAAGTGTGAGGTGTGCGTATGGGTACGGGTGTGAGTGGGAAGTGTGAGGTGTGCGTATGGGTGTGGGTGTAGGTGGGACGTGTGAGATGTGCGTATGGGTGTGGGTGTGGGTGTGGGTGGGAAGTGTGAGGTGTGCATATGGGCGAGGGCGTGGGTGGGAAGTGTGAGGTGTGTGTATGGGTATGGATTTGGGTGTGAGGTGTGCGTATGGGTATGGGTATGGGTGGGAAGTGTGAGGTGTGCATATTGGTATGGACGTGGGTGGGAAGTGTGAGGTGTGCGTATGGGTGTGGGTGTCTTTTTGTCACGTTCATATTCACACCCACCCACACCTACTCCTATCCATCCCCACCCACATCTATCCATCCACACCCACTCCTTTCACCCACACCCTTTACCTACTGTTGTATCACCTTGATCTAATTCTCAAATTTTGTGTCAGTCGCATTTTAAGAGGGACTTTCTGAGCCGATTCGAAATTGCAATTTTGCGGTCGGAATTAAAATGTATTTTTTTTATCACTCGATTCCGTATACCACACTTTAGGTATTATACAATTGTTAGGTTTCTGTGATGTAATCTGATGGAGGTACACTCATTGAAACATGAAGAAATCTGAAAGATCGATGAAAAACGGTCTCCCTGAATATTTCGCGTATATCTTTCTCATTTTTCATCTGTTCTTTTGAACAACGTTTCATTGGAAAGAGCATGAAAGCTGAACCAAAAGTTTTTGTAGCTTCTTTAAAACATTGAGCCTTGATATTTGAAAATCTTTTTAGTGAGAAACTTCGCACTTTTTTAAAGAAGTTTTTTCCATTTTAAGGCGTTTATAGTATGATAATTATGTGGGGGAAAGGGTGCACTTTAATATAGTGCATCTTGTCGAGAATTTCTTGCGCCACAAAATTCTTACAAAGATTTTGCGAAAAATTTTCATAAAAGGCCGTAAAGGACGAAGAAACGTCATTCTATGACACGTGTTTGAGCGTTCTTTTGTCTGATATTTACCAAATTTCGGTTAGTAAAATGATGATTTGATGAAAAGTAATATCATATTCTAAATTAGCATGAAAAGATTGATCCGAGTTATGAGTATTTCAATTATTGTTGACATATTTTTTTCTTTCACCAAAAAAATTTGCCCCACTTTCTGTAGATTTCAGCCAAAAAATGAATTTCACCAAACCTATTTTGGAAGCGGCAAACGAATTGTAAGGTTATAAAATGATAATAGAACACAAACGAGCAGGTGTGTAAATAATGAAACCGGCGTTTTCATGAAATTCACTTTTTGCTTGAACC